GCGTCACAGAATGTTCATGAAGCGCTCCCCGTTCACAGTAACCGGGTCGTCTCATTCAAATCAGCCAGCTGTTGCTGTCAGCGAGCCGCGCACATTGAATACTCATATGAGTCAGGCTGCGAATGTAAGTAAGTTACGTGCCCGCTCCAGCGCGCTCATGCTTACTAAATAAACGCCTCACCTCCGGCGCCGCGCACTCACTACATTCCCTTTAGCCTTAGCACATAGTGGATGCATAACGCAAACCCAGTCAAACGTTTGACTGTAGCTTATGCGCTTTATAATCCGGTGCGCCCTATATATGTAAAATGTTCTAAATGGGTCATTCATTGAAGGGGCGTAATATAAATATTTATATTCGTCTGTATTATAGTTATGGACAACGATTACGCTTTGCCTGCACGTTCTGCTGCTACAGCCAGCTCAGTAAAGCTCAAACGTACAGGTGAAAAATATGACCCGAGAAGGGTTTGGGACAGGAGAAGCATGACACAGGTAAACATTGGGGTTGCATCAAGCTAAATCTACAGAGAGATGCCGTATATCCGTATTTTTTGTGAAACGATGATGTCATGTCATGAGCTGAGCTGGTTGTCATTGACAGCAACAACAACTCCCTTGAGCCCACGCTCTTTCCCGATGTCATCAAAGTACGTCTTTTGTTATTATTTTAAATGAGTGACCGTGGTGGCCAAAAATTGCATACTGTACGTTTAACTATGCAAACAATGAAACGTTGATTATGATTATGCTAGACATGACTTTTGGTTTTTAATTTTATGATTACGACATTTACAAACAAGTGTAATTTGATGTGTAAAAGCATAAAACTGCCTATATTTTCCTTAGATCGGAGAAGATAATCAATCAGCAAATTTCTGTTTAGCCAGGTTGCGGTATGCTTTTGACTGCTTTTGAGAGAAAAAAAAAAGTAGCCATAGTAGCAATCAGACAGACATTTTTTAATAGAGATTCTGGGGATGAAAATGTGAGGCCAGCTTATGAAATTTTAATTTGGCTTTTAAGAAAAGGCTGAAAGGAGGTATTATTAACAAAATTCAAAAGCATATTTTGGTGAAAATGAGTGGTCCATTTATAACTCTACTCAAAGTAGGGTGCATTTCCAACTGAGTGATTTGTAAACACTAATATGGCAGAACTGTAGTATTTTTGCTGTGTTGTTGCAAATAGCAACTACCCACACGTTTTTACGAGGGATATATCATTATTCTTTACTGTACAAATGTCATAGAGGTGTTTCACAGATTAACACAGAGATTATGTACACAATGATAAATCTCAAAATAGTGCAGTTGAAATTAGTTTCCATGGCATAAAGTGCTCAACTTAAGAGCAAAGAATATTCCCTCTCACTGTTTCACCTCTCTCCTCCACACCTCCTTAATTAGCACAAAGGGATCTTCATGAAAGCTTACTCCGAATTAACCAAGACATATGAATAAAATATGGTTCAGCCTTCTGATGTCTCTAACCATTTTTTCCCCCTTTAAATCTACCTTACTAACGAATGCGCATCAAAAAGAGGAATAAAGGTTGGAAAGACAAGGAGGGGGAAGAGTGCTACTCTTGAAGTGTTTTTTTTTTTTTTTTTATTGCCATTATATACAATATTTTGTATATATCAGAAAAAGCTTTCTGCCCGTTTGTAAGAGAAGCAGCCCAGATAAGTTTTTAGCATTTTTATTCGTTTTCAATTACAGTCATGGTCAAAATTGATGGCACCCCTGGTAAATATGAACTGGCTGTAAAAAAATAAATCTGAATTGTTTATCCTTTTGATCTTTCATTCAAAAAATTGGCAAAATTCTAACCTTTCATTGAAGTAAAAGAATTGAAAGTGAGGGTAAATCACATAATGAAATACATGTTTTTCTCCAAAACATGCTGGCCATAATTATTGGCACCCCTAGAGTTTTTTTTTTTTTTTTTTTTGAGAAAAATATCTCTGAAGTACATTCCCATTAATATTTAAATTTTTAAGCACACTAGGAACATGAAATTGTCCAGCTTTGACCTTTTGTTTCACAGGAGTATAAATATGAGGAAACACAAAGGCCAAAATTTCCTTATTCATCCATCACAATGAGTAAAACCAAAGAATATAGTTCTGATGTACAGCAATAGATTGTTGACCATCACAAAATACAAAGTGGCTGTAAGAAAATATCTAAAGAATTGAAAATCCCCATTTTGACCATCAGGGCAATAATTAAGAAGTGCCAATCAACTAAAGATGTTACGAATCTGCCAGGAAGAGGACGTGTGTCTATATTGCCTTAATAGACGGTGAGGAGTAAAGTTTGAGTGGCCAAAGACTCTTCAAGGATCACAGATGGAGAATTGCAGAGATTAGTTGAGTCTTGGGGTCAGAAAACCTAAAAAAAAAAAAAGTCAAACAACCCATACATCACCACATGTTGTTTGGGAGGGTTTCAAGAAAAATCCTCCTCACTCATCCAAAAAAAAATTCCAGCAAGTTCAGTTGTCAGACACGACTCGATCTTCAATAGGGGCCGGATTCTATGGTCAGATAAAACGAAAAAAGGGCTTTTTGGCAGCAAACCCAGCAGATGTGTTTGGTACAAACAGGGATGAAGAGTAGCCCATGCCTACAGTTAAATATACTGTGGGATCTTATATGTTGTGGGCCTATTTATTTGCTGGAGGTCCTGGACATCTTGTTCAGATACAGGGTATTATGGATTCTTTCAAATACAAACAGATAAAAAATCAAAACCTGACGCCTTCTGCTAGAAATCTTATAATGGCTGTGGTTGGATCTTCCATCAGGTCAAAACGGTCCAAAAAAAACATAAAAAATCAACACAAACATGTGTCACTGAGCACAAATGGTAGCTTCTGTCATGACCGTCCCAGTTCCCTGACCTGAAGTGTGGAGTGAACTGAAAAGAAGAAGCACTAACATGAACTTGTGAATCTGCAGGATCTGGAGAGAGTCTGTATGGAGAAATGGTCTCCGATCTCTTGTCAGGTGTTCTCCAAACTCATCAGGCATTATAGAAGAAGACTCGGATCTGTTAGCTCGGCAAAAGGAGGCTGCGAAAGGTATTTAATAACAGGGTGCCAATAATTATGGCCAGCATGTTTCGGAGAAAAACATTTATTTCATAATGCAATTTACCCCCACTGTCAATTACAGTATTTTAATTCAATGAAAGGTTAGATTTTTGTCAATTTTTTTAATGAAAGATCAAAAGGATAAACAATGCAGATTTCTTTTTTTTACAGACAGTTTTGATCATATTTACCAGGGGTGCCATCAATTTTGACCATGACTGTATATCTATAATAATAATAAATAGCCTGATTTAGGGGCCTGTGAATATACTGAATGTATATAGTACATCACATGAAGTCTGTTTGCTCTGTTTACAACACAACGGGGTGCTTAAAGCTTCATGCACTTGACTCTATAGATTTTTCCCTGCACTGGCAAAAAGAACAGTAATTATGAACCTGGAACGGCTCATTGATTTGACTCGCCATTGGAGATTTCACACTGACAAATCATTAGTTTCCTTTTTTAGGGTTCCACCAGTTTGCGTTTTTTAACTTGCTTAACTGAACTCAACAATTGAAGACAATAGTAGAAGTGGAGAGACGGCGAGAGAAACAACTTTTATCCATTTTCTTGACGTTGCAAATAAGATATAATGATGTTTGCTTTTTAAATAAATGCCATTCCAGTACATTCTAAATGACTTCGGTAGAAAGGGTGTGATGAATATAAACAAATGACAGCAACATATAAGGCGGAACCTCTAATGTGAAAAGCTTTTTCATTACAAAGAATCAGGGGAAACACAGAGAGAGATGGTTGCCACCATTTCAATGGAAACAAACATTGCTTTGGGCCTCTTTGTAAACAGTACACAGCTGCTATTTCGAGTGATGGGAGCTCCACCTTGTCACAACAATTCCTTAAAAGAGGAACAGTTTAATGTCAACAATATTTTCTCCATCTGCCTGTTCATGAAAACCCTGCGGATCCACCAGGGAAAAGCTTCCTCTCACACAGCCGGGGAGGTGCGGAATCCAGATTTCATGAAGAACGCATCATATTACATCAACTGTGGAAGATGCGCTAGCACAACACTCAATGGTCCCTAACCTTGGAAGAAATCCATTTGCTTAATCGATAGTTATTGATATTCTCAATAAAATCCGATAAAATGAGAGGGAATGCATAAAGGCATTACAGGACTTGGATTAAAGGAATAGCTCACCAAAAGCAAAAATTCATGTCTACGTCATTCCAAACCTGTATGCATGAAAAACACAAGAAATGACAATGGTGATGGTAATGACAATGATAATAAATAATAAATGGTTACTTTTTTTACGCATACACACACATACACTTACACATACCCGCACTCACACCCGCTCACAAACACACTTAGATCAAACACTTAAATCACTCTTGTCACTTCTGGAATTATGGATTTTCAAGATTGCTCACTACTGCTCTATGTTGGTTTGTATGTATGTCTGACTGTTCAAAAAAAAAAAAAAAAAAAGGCTCTCTTTTTTGGACCCCTTTATCATCTTCAAAAAAAAAGAAAAAAAGAAAAAAAGAAATTCCTAGATGAAATAACGATTTTGGGACTTTTCTTTCACAATGCAATAGTTGCAATAAAGTGCATAATTAAGTTCCTGACTGACAATATGATTTCTCCCAGGTGTTAACTCAATCAGGAAGCTGGTCATTTTATTAAGAGCCCTCACCTCTGTTCAAATTTATCATGAATTATTTCCTCCCCTATAACTCTCCTACTGACAGCTTCACACTGACACAAAATCCCAATTAAGGTTTCCATGAGCAGAGTGTCAGTCTCTAATTGGATTAGATTACAAACTTTATTGGGACCAATTAGCATGCCATGGCCTCACCTTTTGAAAAAGGAAAAAGTAATTTAGCCTAATGGAGACGTTTGCCAAGGTGTATATTAGGAGTTTTACTGCAGTCACTGAGTCAGATGGCCTGGCCCCAGGCTCTGTGAGTTAAGCAGGCTTATAAATAGGCTGGCTGTTAACACACACGACAGGAACGGAGAATGAATTTGGTGCCGGAGCGTTTCCTTCTGCAATCAGGATTCTGTGGGGGAGCTGACACTTCACATTTAGATTGCATAGAAGTAAAGCCTCTGGTAACAGGTGTGACCTACCAGTAAGCTTGACTAATGCTCACCACTGCTCTGTCCTGGCTGGCTTTAATGGAAAATCACCATAAAGGTAATTTGCAAGTAGCAAATGTAGTCTGCCTTACATTAAGACAGTAGAAATGAAGAAGAGCCTGGTGCTTTGCATGACACTCATTTCCACCATTTTGATTCCTTTTTTCTCCTTTATATATTAACGCCCACCACAGTCCACTAGAAATGGCATCCAAGCTTGCAGATGCAGCCAGAACTTCAGAAGAAATTGGGTAAGAATGAAAGGTTAACTATATTTGTTTTCCCGGGCACTGTAATTACCTTTCAACTATAAAGTGCAAATAACAGCCTTGCAAAGTGTTTACTTTCTATTACTGACTGATGGCTTCTTTAAAGTTCCTTGGCAGCTCATATATAAACAATCAAATAAATTAATTACTTGCATTTTTCCCTTGATTCACTTTCACAAAGTGAGAAGAGGGTTCAGAAATGAAAACAGTGTAGGGGAGGTTTACAGGAAATCCCAGACATTTAATTGGACTTTGTGTGTCTTTGTTTATGGCTCCCTCTACCAGTAAAAATGACTTGTGAAATTAAAGTGAAATGCTTTGATCAGTGATAGCATTTGAATGGGGAGGGTTTAAATATTTAAAATTCATCTGCAGCGTCACACTTTGATCTGCCGGCTGATTAATGAGGTTTGTTGTTAAAAATATACTAAATGAATCTTAGAACGCCTGCCCACTGTACTTGCAAGTTGTCTCACTGAGGAAGGGGGAAATATTTTAAAGTAAAGGGTAAACTCGTTGGAGTTATCTTTTGTTTTCTCCTCCTCTTTTTGAAGACCGAGACATAAACAAATAGTCTTTTCTTCTTTATGAGGTAGTGTACTATTCATGCTTCGTTGTTCTTGTGAATGGTAATATATTGAGAGTATAGCTGTGTTGCGAAATCTGTTTGTATCATTGTGTCCAAGTGCTGTTTTTTTTTTGTTTGTTTGTTTGTTTTGTTATGTTTTTATTATTGGTAATTTCTCTCTCTATTTATTCATTTATTTGTTTATTTATTTTTCATTTTCACTTTCTCAGACTTAGATACAGGTCCATTGTCCTCTCAATCATTATCATCATCATCATCATCTGTTGACATCAACCATTTATCACGAGGTTCATAACTAACAGAATCGATAAAACCGAACGCAAACCACCCAATGAAGACCTCTTGTTTAAACACCTCTCACTTTTTTTATTCATTTTTAACAATCTCCATCTCTCTAATTTTGACCTTTTTGTCTGTGTTGCTTGTTTGAGTATGTTTAGTTTCTTTCTGTTCATCTGTTCCCCCTTTTCATGTTGTACACAAGTATTTGGTTATTGCATTTTTATTTTTTAGCGTGTTTTAAGAAAGTCACGTGACATAAATTTCAACATGTAGGACTATACTGATACTGTTTCTGATAAGTATACTATATTTACAGTATCACAGATTATATATACCTGAACACCCCACTTTGTAAATCAGCTAAAATAAAGTGTTAATAGATTTTTGTATTTATCTGTGTCTCTTTGTTGCAGCAAACTAATTATTTTAAATATAAGTACACACCCCCTTATTGTAACATTGTTCTATTTATCTGTTCTTTCTGTCTTTAGAAACAGTGTTCAAACTTCAATGTTTTTATTTTTATTTTATACTTTCAAACAAGGCTGTGTCTACCGATTAAGAATTGCAATTGAAATTCAATTCACATTAAAGGTGCTATATGTAACTTCTAAAAGGAATCCTTTTTATTGCGTGTGTGAAGGGGTTGTAAACAGATATAAGACATGAAAAAAAGACAGAAAACGATAACTATAAAAAAAGTAGGTGCTTTAGGATGTAACTTATTTCATGTACTAGATCTACTGTCTAATGTCACTCATCACACTACTGTCATATTATTTATAATACACATTTCAAGACATGTTCAGTACAGTAATGTTACTTCCTAGGATCTTACTGTTACACTGAAATTGTTCAGTCTAATTCACTAACCATTTTTATTATCATATTATACATTCACCTATGTTGACACTGATTGTGAAAGATATACGAATAGTTAGTGAAATGCCTTATGCTAGATAGCACCACAAATGTAACGTTGTCATGGTACGAGTATGGAAGTTCAACGTCAAGCTGATAAAAGTAGCACATTATTGTAACGTGCAGCGGGAGTTTACATTAGCTTCCAGCATGTTGAGCGATGCTTTCTCCGATGTGTTGAAAGTCTCAGTGTGATCGTGTACCATGAGTGTTCGCCCTTGTTCGAGCACGTGCAAGAGCACAAGCGCTCTTGTAAAAATTGGTTGCAATCTGAAACATCACCTATGGAGGCCGCTTAAAAAAATACATTTACCTTTAAAGAACAATATATAATAAAAAAAAAAAATCATTAGCTTGACTTGCTAACTCTACAGGCCGACCTCACACAAGTGTCTATCACCGACCAACAAGGTCGAAGTAGTCAAACCCTCTGTAGTGAACAAGTTCAAACTATTTTGGTCCCAACCTACCCCGATATATATATATATATATATATATATATATATATATATATATATATATATATGTGAAGAGTTCAGATGAAAAAGCCTCTAAATGCCTTTTGAAATTTTCTTCTTTAATGATGATTTTTGTCAAACTTGTATATTCAAGTTCAGTAATTTCACTTAAATAACAATTAATAGGTAATTACCATTGCCATTTAAGTGAAATCACTGAACCTAAATATACAAGCTTGACATAAATAATCATTAAAGAAGAACATTTCAAATGGCATTTAGAGGCTTTTGCATCTGAACTCTTCATATATATATATATATATATATATAGAAGAGAGAGAGAGAGAGAGAGAGAGGGGGGGGGGGCACCTCTCATGCTGATTGGCTAAATCATTTGAACCTTCCATCTGGTGAAAATCATGTGTTCCTTCCAAACGTTAATAAAACAACATGCAAAGAGAACAGGGCCAATGATCGCATTTCATTCCTGATATCTCTTCTTAAAACCTGTGAAGGAGAGGGTTTGAATTGATCAGCATCAACCAGACAGTTTCTTTGTAGTAGGGCCAGACCATGCGGAGTTCATGGAATTTGGAATAGGCTTAAATAGATGAGCACTCCAGCGGACTAAAGGCTTACATAAATGAGGAATTATTAGGCATTAACTGTACCATCAGGGTCAAGACTTTTCTTCATATTGAACACAGTAACATTAAAGATGCATTTTCACATGTAGTTCTACTTCAATAATTGCATTAAATGATATTTGCCCAATGTAAGGTCAAACATTCAGCATTTACACTCATAAGCAGGAAAATAAACAGAGATAAATGTGTACACTTGATCCAGAAATGCCTCAGTGAGTTTGCTCCAGAATAATGTACCCAGCATGTAAAATGCTTATTAAATTAGAGGAGTGCTCCTTCTTACAATACAATGCTTTCATCATCTAATAAATATTCAAAAGACAGACTGCTCCGAAAACAAATATGAGACATAGTTTGCAGTTGTTTTCATGTGACATGAATGTTTCATTAAGTGCTAAATGTAGAAAAGCCATTCCAATTTCTTCTCATGCCGCAAGCTGCACCAAACCCAATCTGAATCCTAATGAGTTTTCTATTACAGTGGGGAATTTGCTGCAGTCTGACTACAAAGCTTAATGTTTAGGGGTGAAATTAGAACAGTGTTGCCAGATGAACCATCTCCAAAAATAAAGAAAAATAAATTGCCAGTGGATGAATGTAGTACAGTATGACTTTATCAAATCTCATCACAATCTCCACCACAATCATGATCAGCGACCATCAAGTCAGTCTGAGAGGCTGGGGAAGTGTGAAATTTTCATTTTAGCACTGGCCAGGGCAGGACGTGAGGAGAAGGTGAGTAACTGAAGTTGTTGCAGGTCAGCGATGATGTATCTCCCGTAAAGTGTTTTCTCCATCTGACAGGTGATGTAGCAGGTCATGAATTGCCTGTCTTAACATTTTTGGCCCTGCACGGACCTATGTTTCAGAGGCATTTTGAGGAAGAGCCACCTGCTTGTGAACAAGGTGATCAATGAACAGGGAGCTTTCAGTGGACTCCATACGAGAATCGTATTGATGTTTCAGGACTCGGGCCAGAATCAATGGCAGCTGTTTGAGTCTGACTGAGCTAACTGCGCTTAACGTCAGCTCTGAAGGTGAAATTAATTGATTGAGGGGATGACATTTATTGGAAATGGGTGTCAATCTGTGTTTATTTATGCTCCCATGAGCAAATATAAAAGGAGGAGGGGTGGGAGCTCAGGGTCTTTCTTTCACCAGCTTATCACAATGTATTTGGTTCCTCTGTGGTAGTTTTAGGCAATTAGTGGCATTGGAAGTGGTTGAATGGCATTCAATTTTAATGCGCTTTCACCACTGAGAATGTGCTCATGATGGCACAGGCTCCTATTAAAACAAAGACAGGTGGTGATGATGGTGCGTTCACCCCTGTCAGAGTAGTGTCATGAGCAGAATGATAGTAATTAGTGTGATGCAAGGAGTGATAAAAATATATTCGATAAGAGTGCAATGATGAAACTTTCCTTCTAAAGTTTTTGAGAAAAGCTACCTTTAGCTAGTAAGTAATGTTTGAAGAACTTCATGAGGCTCCATCTTGTCTAGCTATCTTCTGTTACACTTGGAAAGGGGAAAGAAAATTTTACCTGCCATTATTTTTTAAAATAGCAACAATCTCACTTTGAAATTATTCAGAGATGGTCAGTAGAATGATATTATTACAATTGTGCCATTTAAGTTGATTTCCTCAATACAACATACTATTATGCACTATGCCTAAAACAAATTTGCATCATACAGATAACAATGTGAATGGGTTTAAAAAAAAAATATATATATATATATATGAAGAGTTCAGATGCAAAAGCCTCTAAGTGCCATTTGAAATTTTCTTCTAAAAATGATCATTTTTATCAAGCTTGTATATTTAAGTTCAGTAATTTCACTTAAATTGCAATGAAGATTACCTATTAATTGCCATTTAAGTGAAATTACTGAACTTAAATATACAAGCTTGATAAAAATGAACATTCTAGAAGAAAATTTCAAATGGCATTTAGAGGCTTTTGCATCTGAACTCTTCATATATATATATATATATATATATATATATATAATCAAATTCATAGCTGCTTCCTTACAGCTTGTCCATGCAGTCAAAAATGTATTAATTTTACACATTTAAAACACAGGCAAAATCAAACTTATATTTCAAACTGAAGGTCATCTTTCCATATGTCATAATGCTCTGAGTTAGTTCAACAAAATCATACTGGCTGGTATTATTTATCCTTTACATTCTCCTACAAAATAAATTGTGCCTTTATTTTCTGTATTATTGATTTCCGAAAAATATAGATGGTATATTTAGTGTGTTGTTATATATATATATATGACACATTGCCCTATATGTAATCAAAGAGTATCATAGCTCTGAAAATGTTTGAGAGATAAATAAAAAAATAATTCCTTGATATATACATTTTTTCATCTGTTTTGACCCAATGGAATCAGTGAGAACTTGTCAAATACTGATTCAGAATTCTTTTATATTGCAAGAGACACATGTCAATGTGGTATCGCTTGGAAAGAGAAGTGTTAATGTGCCTGGGAGTCTTCTAGGAGCAGCCACCTCCATTTAGCTACAATTCTTCACTTTCTTTCCCTCATTGTGTCTTGAAACTGTCCCTTAAGAAGGCCAACCTGCTGACAAGTCCCATCTAGTCATTGTTCCTCTTAAAGTATCTTTCCACCCCTCTAATCAAAATGACTCTCTGTTAAATAAACCATGAAAAAAGCTTTCCCACTGATGGTGCACTGATGCGTAAGGCTGTAAAGCTGGAGCATTAATCAACAGATTGGATTTCTGCGTGCAACTGAGATTCTCTCTTCCTTTGCAAGTCTTCATTAGAGAACAAAAGAAATATAAAAGGACCGAGAGATATCTGGACAGAATAAGGGGACATAGGCCTATCAACAAAATCAGATGCTTGTTCAATGTGGTTTATAGGAACTATAAACTATAACTATATATATATATATATATATATATATATAGAGAGAGAGAGAGAGAGAG